CCAGCAGGAGAAGAGAAATAATAAAGATCAGAGCAGAAATCAATGAAATAAAAACCAAAAGAACAGTAGAACAGATCAATGAAACTAGGAGCTGGTTCTTTGAAAGAATTAACAACATTGATAAACCCCTGGCCAGACTTATCAAAAAGAAAAGAGAAATGACCCAAATCAACAAAATCATGAATGAAAGAGGAGAGATCACAACCAACACCAAAGAAATACAAACAATTATAAGAACATATTATGAGCAACTCTATGCCAGCAAATTAGATAACCTGGAAGAAATGGGTGCATTCCTAGAGATGTATCAACTACCAAAATTGAACCAGGAAGAAATAGAAAACCTGAACAGACCTATAACCACTAAGGAAATTGAAGCAGTCATCAAAAATCTCCCAACAAACAAAAGCCCAGGGCCAGATGGCTTCCCAGGGGAATTCTACCAAACATTTAAAGAAGAATTAATACCTATTCTCCTGAAACTGTTCCAAAAACTAGAAATGGAAGGAAAACTTCCAAACTCATTTTATGAAGCCAGCATTACCTTGGTCCCAAAACCAGACAAAGACCCCATCAAAAAGGAGAATTACAGACCAATATCCTTGATGAACATGGATGCAAAATTCTCACCAAAATACTAGCCAATAGGATCCAACAGTACATTAAAAGGATTATTCACCATGACCAAGTGGGATTTATCCCTGGGCTGAAAGGTTGGTTCAACATCCACAAATCAATCAACGTGATACAATACATTAACAAAAGAAAGAACAAGAATCATATGATCCTCTCAATAGATGCAGAAAAAGCATTTGACAAAGTACAGCATCCTTTCTTGATCAAAACTCTTCAGAGAACAGGAGTAGAGGGTACATACCTCAATATCATAAAAGCCATCTATGAAAAACCTACAGTGAATATCATTCTCAATGAGGAAATGCTGAGAGCTTTCCCCCTAAGGTCAGGAACACGGCAGGGAAGTCCACTCTCACCACTGCTATTCAACATAGTATTAGAAGTCCTAGCCACAGCAATCAGACAACAAAAAGAAATCAAAGGCATCCAAATCAGCAAAGAGGAAGTCAAACTCTTACTCTTTGCAGATGATATGATACTGTGTGTGGAAAACCCAAAAGACTCCACCCCAAAACTGCTAGAACTCATACAGGAATTCAATAAAGTAGCAGGCTGTAAAATCAATGCACAGAAATCAGTGGCATTCCTATACACCAACAACAAGACAGAAGAGAGACAAATCAAGGAGTCGATCCCATTTACAATTGCACCCAAAACCATAAGATACCTAGGAATAAATTTAACCAAAGAGGCAAAGGATCTGTACTCAGAAAACTGTAAAATACTCATGAAAGAAATTGAAGAAGACACAAAGAAATGGAAAAACATTCCATGCTCATGGATTGGAAGAACCAACATTGTGAAGATGTCAATGCTACCCAGAGCAATCTACACATTCAATGCAATCCCCATCAAAATACCATCCATTTTTTTCGAAGAAATGGAACAAATAATCCTAAAATTTGTATGGAACCAGAAGAGACCCCGGATAGCCAGAGGAATATTGAAAAAGAAAAGCAAAGCTGGCGGCATCCCAATTTCGGACTTCCAGCTCTATTACAAAGCTGTCATCCTCAAGACAGTATGGTACTGGCACAAAAACAGACACATAGATCAATGGAACAGAATCGAGAGCCCAGAAATGGACCCTCAACTCTATGGTCAACTCATCTTTGACAAAGCAGAAAAGAATGTCCAATGGAAAAAAGACAGTCTCTTCAACAAATGGTGTTGGGAAAATTGGACAGCCACATGCAGAAGAATGAAACTGGACCATTTCCTTACACCACACACAAAAGTAGACTCCAAATGGTTGAAAGACCTAAATGTGAGACAGGAGTCCATCAAAATCCTAAACACAGGCAGCAACCTCTTTGACCTCAGCCTCAACAATTTCTTCCTAGAAACATCACCAAAGGCAAGGGAAGCCAGGGCAAAAATGAACTATTGGGATCTCATCAAGATAAAAAGCTTTTGCACAGCAAAAGAAACAGTCCACAAAACCAAAAGACAACCGACAGAATGGGAGAAAATATTTGCAAATGACATATCAGACAAAGGGCTAGTATCCAAAATCTATAAAGAACTTATCAAACTCAACAGCCAAAGAACAAATAATCCAATCAAGAAATGGGCAGAAGACATGAACAGTCATTTTTCCAAAGAAGACGTCCAAATGGCCAACAGACACATGAAAAAGTGCTCAACATCACTCAGCATCAGGGAAATCCAAATCAAAACCTCAATGAGATACCACCTCACCCCAGTCAGAATGGCTAAAATTAGCAAGTCAGGAAATGACAGATGTTGGTGGAGAAAGGGGAACCCTCCTACACTGTTGGTGGGAATGCAAGCTGGTGCAACCTCTCTGGAAAACAGTATGGAGGTTCCTCAAACAGTTGAAAATAGAGCTACCATCTGATCCAGCAATTGCACTACTGGGTTTTTACCACAAAGATACAAATGTAGGGATCCGAAGGGGTACGTGCACCCCGATGTTTATAGCAGCAATATCCACCATAGCCAAACTGTGGAAAGAGCCAAGATGTCCATCGACAGATGAATGGATAAAGAAGAGGTGGTATATATACACAATGGAATATTATGCAGCCATCAAAAGGAATGAGATCTTGCCATTTGCAATGACGTGGATGGAACTGGAGGGTGTTATGCTGAGTGAAATAAGTCAATCAGGGAAAAATATGTATCATATGACCTCACTGATATGAGGAATTCCTAATCTCAGTAAACAAACTGAGGGTTGCTGGAGTGATGGGTGGTGGGAGGGATGAGGTGGCTGGGTGATAGACATTGGGGAGGGTATGTGCTATGGTGAGCGCTGTGAATTGTGCAAGACTGTTGAATCAGAGATCTGTACTCCTGAAACAAATAATGCAACATATGTTAAGAAAAAAAAAGAAGAAGAAGAAGATAGCAAGAGGAGAGAATGAAGGGGAGAAAGTCGGAGGGGGAGACGAACCATGAGAGACTATGGAGTCTGAAAAACAAACTGAGGGTTCTAGAGGGGAGGGGTGTGGGGGGACGGGTTAGCCTGGTGATGGGTATTAAAGAGGGCACATTCTGCATGGAGCACTGGGTGTCATGCACAATGAATCATGGAACACTACATCCAAAACTAATGATGTAATGTATGGTGATTAACATAACAATAAAAAATTAAAAAAAAAAACAAAAACAAATGTAACTACCATTTAATAGCCTCACAAAAACACAAGTCATGTCTCCATCTTAGAAATGGAGGCTTGGCAAGAAGGAACTTTGCACTGGTCACACAGCCAGAAAGTTGCAGAACTGGGATGTGAATGCTGAGATGTTTGATCCAAGAACTCACATTCTTTCAGTTACATGAATGGTGGTGTATTATTTTAGGAATGATACCTCAACTTACTGCTCTGCCTACTGACCAGGATGGAAAGGAAAAAGACTTGAACCAAAAATCCAATCATTGAGCTGAAAAAAAAATGATAGAAGAAAAATAGAAAAGAGAAAAATGCTTCAAGAGACAGTGCAGAAGTAGATTCAATTGGAGCTAGTGACTTGCTGGATGCAGGCTAGTAGAAGATGATAGAAATGATATATTTCTTAGCATTACCCTGAGCATGACTCAGGGTAATTCCACCAACAGGCAATGAAAAAAAAGATACAAAAGATCAAAGTTTGATGACAAGGTGATTGAGTGTTAAGCTAGAAATCATCCAGTAGAAATGTCTGGTGGGCATAGTGAGGCGCGGGTCTAGAATGGGACACAGGCCAGTGTTAAAGATGTATATTTAGAAACGATTCACCTACAGTCAAAGTGACAAGAAGGGATGACAGCACCAAAGGACAATGTGTAGAAAACAAGAGTGCGAATCACAAAACTATAAGGAATGACAAGATCTAGAGCAAAGATTCACCAAATGTAAGAAAGAAGAGGAGGGAACAAATATTCTAATAGAAGTATTTTTAGAAGGCAATTGTTCAAAATTCAGTAAGCCTGGTCAGTATCAAATGGGTCCAAGAGGGTGTAGGAGAATAAACATGAGACTGGATTGGATGTGGGATAATTAGCAAGCTGAGAGTTAATTTCAATGAAGTGCTGGGACCACAATTTGGGAGTGAGCAGGATGGGAAGTGAACGCAGAAAACTTTTCTAGAAATAATGAAAAGAAGAAATGTAAAAATACAAGAAATCTGGGAATAGAAAGGGAACATACAGGCCGGCCATTTTAGTCCCTTCATTTTGCAGATAAGAAAACTGGGCCCAGAGAAATTAACCAATACCTTTATTTATACCTTAGACAGAAAACCAGCAAAGATGAAATGGTAATTCAGGAGGGATAGGATCAAGGAAGACTTTCTGTCTCCAGAAAGAGACAGAAATGGACTCCAGAAGAGTCCATTTAAAACCTCATTTCTCATTTAAGATGCCTCCTTCCTCTGGTACTATGAGCCCATAGTCTTGAAATCATTTTCAATATATCTGAAAGAAAGACCATATTATCCACTGAGACCCATGACTATGATGGCTCACTTGCTGGAGAAAATGTAATATCGTTGGTTTGAGCAAGAGAAAGAGAAATCTGTCTATCACACTTTTTTATTCTTATAGGAGTTTTGTAGTCCTGAAACCTGGAAGACAGGAAGGATTGCTCATACTAAATTTGAAATGCATCACTGTAATAATCTTGATAATACTCCTCCCTATCCCATTTTGGAGATAACAAATAACCCCAAGGTAACTATCCACCTACAGAAATGGACACAGTAGGGTGAAGGCATTCATTAAAAAAAAAAAAAATCACCCAATTATGAATAATTCATGATGAGCTGGCAAACACCAGTTTGCTATGGGTAGCTAGGTTCATCAAGAAACACCCTGATAATGTGTATATAAAGACAAACTCAACTGTTTGAGCAGGACATTTGCCATCAGAGCTTCACTCCAGGAACAATCTCTCTGGGTCTGGACATCATGTCTGTGCGCTTTTCTTCTGCATCCAGACGCCTTGGCTCCAGCGGGGGAGCAGGTTTTGGGGCTGGAAACGCATGCGGTGTGCCAGGCATTGGAAGTGGCTTTTCTTGCGCTTTTGGGGGCAGCTCATCTGCAGGAGGCTATGGTGGGGGACTGGGCGGGGGAAGTGCTTCTTGCGCTGCCTTCACCGGGAATGAACACGGCCTCCTGTCGGGCAACGAGAAGGTGACCATGCAGAACCTCAATGACCGCTTAGCCTCCTACCTGGAGAATGTGCGAGCACTAGAGGAGGCCAACGCCGATCTGGAGCAGAAGATCAAGGGATGGTATGAGAAATTCGGGCCTGGTTCTTGCCGTGGTCTTGATCATGATTACAGCAGATACTTCCCAATAATTGATGACCTTAGGAACCAGGTAAGAAGCACAATGTCATGAGGGTTAATACCGCTAAGAATATTCAGCCACACAAGCACCCACAAATGCGTAAGCTGTCACACACAGCAGGGCTTTGCTCTCAGCCTCGGATTTTCCGTAGTGCATTATGAATATTAAAAATAATTTCTTTTCAAATCCTAATCTTTGAACATGGCTCACCCATACCTGGTACGAGGTATGCATGTTTATGCTTTTTGTAATATGAAAATATCAAAAACTGCCCACCATCTCCTGCTATATTATTTATAACTTTTTCCATAGAAAGGGTTTTTTTACGGGTGGGGTGAAGAGTAAAAAAGGCTATACTTAATTTCCCATTTGCAAAAGAATCATCTTATTGTTGGAGACAGAATGCCAGAAAGATTACTATAATTTCAAAGGTGACTTTCTTTCAAGGAAATGTGACATTTCCTAACTCCTAACTAACTTCCCATTTATCAGATCATTTCTGCAACTACCAGCAATGCCAATGTTATCCTGCAAAATGATAATGCAAGACTTACGGCTGATGACTTCAGGCTAAAGTGAGTAGAGCTGAAGAGAAACTAAAGAAGTTATTTCAACATTTCCCCCTTTAATCTATCAGAGGTCACCTCAATTGTTTGACTTTGTTTATTTGCTTTAAACCAAATGCATGTAAGAATGACCAGCTGAATGATATATTTTACTTGGGAAATTTAGGAACCGACACAAATGAATGTCAAGATCATATGAAAGAGAATTTTGAGTGTTCCCATTCTCTTGCTTCAAAGAAATTTGCTGATTGCATTATGGGCAGTCTAACTGAAGCTTTGAGTGTATTTTAATAGTTTGACCTTGAAGCATGGTTGGCGTTTTATGATGACCCAGAAAGTGATGGGACTAAGGTGATGCAACTGTCAAATATTTTCTAAGGTTTGAAAATGAACAGGCCCTTCACCAGAGCGTTGATGCGGATGTCAGCGGTTTGCGCAGGGTGCTGGATGAGCTGACTCTCTGCCGAACCGACCTAGAGATCCAGCTGGAAACCCTGAGCGAGGAGCTGGCTTACCTCAAGAAGAATCACGAGGAGGTAGGTCCTCTGTCTCCCCCGATTCCACAATCCGCCTTGCTCCCAAAACTTAAAAATGAATTTCAGGTGACAGGTATAACCATGTCCGCCATCAATATTCCAGAAGGAACTCGTCAGTTTCTCTGCGTGGCTTAGATTGTTTGGAAATGTTTCTATCCATAGGCCTCCAAAGAACAAACCTTTTTAAAAAAGTTTCTAACCTCATGCATCCTGTCGGTCTGGTTGCTCTGAAAATATTCAGCTCCTAACGTGGTCAAACAAATTTCTTTCAGGAAATGAAGGCGCTGCAGTGCGCGGCTGGAGGGAACGTGAACGTGGAGATGAACGCGGCGCCCGGGGTGGACCTCACGGTCCTGCTGAACAACATGCGGGCGGAGTACGAAGACCTGGCCGAGCAGAACCGCAGGGACGCGGAGGCCTGGTTCAATGAGAAGGTAAAACCCCACCAGGGCACGCCTGCGTGGCCCTGGGCGCTGATGCAAGGCCGGCAGCACCCTAACACCCCCCACCTCTCCAACCTTTCAGAGCGCTTCCCTGCAGCAGCAGATTTCTGATGATGCTGGTGCCACCACCTCAGCTCGGAATGAGCTTACCGAGATGAAACGTACTCTTCAAACCCTGGAGATCGAACTCCAGTCCCTCTTGGCAATGGTCAGTAAAAAGTATCAAAAAAGATTGGTTTCAGAAGTGGGGAAGAAATGTAAAGAGCATTTCTTTCACGTCTTTTTACTTACCTTCGTTTTTATCCATTAATCGCCGGACTTGACATAAGCCACATTTGCATTTTTCACAGCAGAACCCTCTTGGCCTGAAAAGTAGACCTAGGTGCTCATAATTATGAAACATTGGAAATTAGCAAGTACAGTTATTTTGAAGTACTCGGAAAAGAAAATAGTTTCTACCCTGAATCTTCTCTCCCAAGTCAAGAGATAAACCATCCTCCCCGGAATGCAAAAACGCGTTCCCACCCCTCCTATCTTCTTCATCTGGCATTCCTTTGGGCCACTTTAATTAAGAACACTTAGAAGTTCCTTTTTAAGTGGCATAAACAAGAAGCAAAGCGGAGGCATGAATGTTGCCTCTAAAGCTAAACACCTTTGATAATAATAGTAACCTTTTCATTAAGGTTTTGCCCAGCACTTTCTCCCACTTGAGTCCACAATAACCCTGGGGCTTGGGCAGGGCAGACTTTATAATTCCTATCATTATTTTCAAAAGAACAATCTGAGATTCAAAGAAGTTAAGCAGTTAAAAAAAAAAAAAAAAAGTTAAGCAGTTTTCCCAGAGCCCCACAGTTGAATACGAAGGAACCTGAACTTCTCTCCAAATTACCTAACTCCCGCGTGTATACTTCTCCCGCTATGGCTAGTAGACAAACCTTCAGAGTTTATCCACAAAAGAGGGTATGAATGTATATATAATTAGGACTTGGCATAAAAATTCTTGCAGCTGAAAGAGGAAGACACTTTTATTTTCATTCCACCTACAAGTATAGCGAGCATCCCTCTTTAGGAGAAACACTTTATAAACCCATTTGGATTCACAAACCATTTAAAGTTTAAAAACATCATTCTTTTCTTTGGGTCAGTCTACTTTGGGAAAGTTTACCCAGTTCACTATGGGGTTATTAATTTTATAGAAGAGCTACAATCTCCATGAGACAAGACTGTCATGTGATTAGAAACAAAGTAGCAAACTGTAGGGGGACTTTGATTCCTGGGAAATGTGGCAAATTGTGCCAGACCCTGGAAGCAGAGGTGGGGCAGAGGGATCTTTAGACTGTGCCCTGTGAAGAAACAAGTTCATCTTTGCTAACACTCCTGGACATATGAGTGACATTCACCACCAACTGTGTCATTCTCAAACAGAAAAACAGTATGACATCTAATAAAGGCAACAATTAATATTGAACAAGGGGGACTCTTTGGGGGTAAATATGGTTATTTGCATCGTGTAAGTTAACTCTTTTAAGTATCTCTTAAGTGGTCTGCCAACACTGTGACACTTTCTACTAAACTATGTCTTCCTGATCCATAGAAACACTCCCTGGAGTGCTCCCTGAGCGAGACCGAAGGCAACTACTGTGCACAGCTCGCCCAGATCCAGGCTCAGATCGGGGCCCTGGAGGAGCAGCTGCACCAGGTCAGAACTGAGACGGAGGGCCAGAAGCTGGAGTACGAGCAGCTGCTCGACATCAAGGTCCACCTGGAGAAGGAAATCGAGACCTACTGCCGCCTGATTGATGGAGAGGATGGGTAAGCACAGCTTCTACTGAGAAAACACTTTATACTTTATTTTAAGGTTATTAAAGGTTTTTAGAAACCAAGTACAAAGTATTTGTGACCTATATCATGTATAACTAAACCCCTTCTAGTGTTATTTCAGAATCCAGAGATCTCCCATCTTAAATCCTTGTTTTCCAGTTTCCTTAGCAAAATAGAGTGAAATAATTAATGCAAGCTCTCTATATTGTTACAGCTCTTGTGTTAAATCAAAAGGCTATGGAGGACCAGGAAATCAGATAAAAGGTAAACAAAAGCTGTGTTGAGCATTCAAAATGTACCTGTATAAGTTTCAAATGATGAGTTAATTATTTCCCCTTCATGGATCTGATAAATTCTAACAATTCATGTGTCATTTTAGAGTCATCTAAAACCACCATGGTTAAAACAATTGTTGAAGAAATAGATCCTCGTGGCAAAGTTCTCTCATCCAGAGTTCACACTGTGGAAGAGAAAGCCACCAAAGCCAACAACGTGAAGAGTGAACAGAGGGTGCCTTCCTGAGCCCCAGAAGAAGAGCCCCTAAATTAAAATACCAAACTGAAGCTAGGTTCCTAAATAAAAGCCCTCTTATTTTTCTGCTTTTCTTCCAATGAATTAAGACAAGCTGTTTGTAGAATGGTAACATCTCTTTAACTTTCTCTATGGTGGTGTGTCAATAAAAGTTCTTCCTGTTGCAAGTCATCTTCACTGGTTCTGGTCAATCTTTGCATTTTAAACATACCCACAAGGGGAGCTGAATCTGATTTTGTTTGTTTGTTTGTTTGTTTGTTTAATTCAGTGGCCTTCACAAGTTAGGAGTAAACTTAACAGGTAAACTGGTTGGAGTCTTTTAAACATCTCTGTAAAATTTTAAATCTTCCTCCTGCCTTCTATAAATACTTGTTAAGCACACTTTCTAAGTGCTGGCAATGAGAATAAAATAGTCTATAAAATCTAATTCCTGAATGCAACATGCTTATAGAAGTGGAAATAAGAAGAATCAAAAACATCCTAAAAATAAAGGGAAAAAACTGTAAATGGTGATATTTGAAGGTAGAAAGGAAGAGAGAGAAATATGGGAACTAGATAGGGCAAGATAGGGAAATTCTACAATGTTAGGCCACAAAACACATCTTAACAAACTGAAGAAAACTGAAATCATATCAAGTATCTTTTCTGGCCACAGTAGTATGAAACTAGAAATCCATAACAGGAGGAAAATTGGAAAATCCAAAAATATGTAAAAATTAACACACTCCTGAACAATGAGTGGGTCAAAGAAGAAATCAAAAGGAAAATTTAAAAAAAAAAATCTTGAGACAAATGAAAATATAATATACAGGGATATATGGGATGCAGCAAGAGCAGTACTAAGAGGGAACTTTATAGTGATAATCATATATTAAGAAAGAAGAAAGTTCACAAATAAGCAATCTAACTTTACATATCAAGAAACTAGAAAAAGGAGAAATTAAGCCTAAAGTTAGCAGAAGGAAAGAAAGAATAAAGATTAGAACAGAAATAAATTAAAGAGACTAGAAAAGAAATAGGTAAGATCAACAAAACTGATAGTTGGTTTTTTTGAAAAGTTAAAATTGAAAATCTTTAGCTAGTCCAGCCAGAGGGAGAGAGAAAGGACTCAAATAAAAATTTAAGTGAAAAAAGAGACATTACAAGTGATGTCAGAAATACAAAGGATTATAAGAGAATACTGAAACATTTATATGCCAACAAATTGGATAATCTAAAAGAAATAAATTCATGGGGCGCCTTGGTGGCTCAGTTGGTTAAGCGACTGCCTTCGGCTCAGGTCATGATCTCAGGGTCCTGGGATCGAGCCCCACATCAGGCTCCCTGCTCAGTGCGAAGCCTGCTTCTCCCTTTCCCACTCCCCCTGCTTGTGTTCCCTCTCTCGCTGTCTCTCTCTCTGTCAAATAAATAAATAAAATCTTTAAAAAAATAAAGAAATAAAAGAAATAAATTCCAAGAAACATGCAAACTGCCAAGACTAAATCATGAAAAATAGAAAATCTAAACAGACCAATGATGAGTGAGGAGATTGAATCAGTAATCAAAAACCCTTTCAACAAAGAAAAGCCTAAGACTAGATGATTTCACTGGTGAATTCTACTACTTACAGAAGAATTAATGCCAATCTTTCTCAAGCTCTTCCAAAAAATAAGAGGAGAAAACACTTCCAAACTCATTTTCTAAGTTCAGCATTACTCTTATACCAAAGCCAGACAAAGATGCTACAAGAAAAGAAAATTACAGGCCAATACCCCTGATGAATATAGATGCAAAAATCTTCAACAAAACTCTAGCAAAATAAATTCAACAGCACCATAAAAAAATCATATACCATGATCAAATGTGATTTATCCCTGGGATGCAATAAATGTGATACACCACATTAACAGAAGGAAGGGTAAAAATCATATGATCATCTCAATAGATACAGAAAAAACATTTGACAAAATTTGACACCTTTTCATGATACAAATGCTCAGCAAATTAGGTATGGAAGGAATGTAACTTAACATAAAAGCCATATATGAAATTACCACAGCTAATATACTCAGTGATGAAAAACTGAAAGCTTTTCCTCTATACCAAGAATAAGGCAAGGATGTCCACTCACCACTTTTATTCAATACTGGAATTCCTAGCCAGAGCAATTAGGCAAGAAAAAGAAATAAAAGGCACCCAAATTGGAAGAGAAGCAAAATTGTCTTTGTTTGCAGATAGCATGCTCTTATATATAGAAAACCCTAAAGACTTCACCCAAAAACTGTTAAAACTAATAAATAAATTCAGCAAAGTTGCAGGACACAAAATCAATATTAAAAATCAGTTACATTTTTATACACTTGCAATAAATTGTCCAAAAAGAAAATTAAGAAAACAATCCCATTTATAATAGCATCAAAAAGAATAAAATACTTAGGAATAAATTTAACTAAGGAGATGAGAGACTTGTACACTGAAAACTACAAAACAGTGATGAAAGAAATTAAAGCAGACACAAACAAATCAAAAGACATCCCATGTTCATGAACCCAAAGATTAATAATGTTTAAAGGGCCATACTACCAAAGCAATCTACAGACTTAATGCAATCCCTGTCAAAATCCCAATGACATTTTTTATCATAAATAGAAAAAACAATCCTAAAATTCATCTAAATACAAAAAAGACCTTTAATAGCTAAAGCAATTTTGAGAAAGGACAAATCACCCTTCCTGATTTCAAAATACCTTACAAACTACAGTAAATAAAACAGCATGGAAGACATAAAAATATGGAGAAATTAGAACCCTTGTGCACTGTTGGTGGGAATGCAAACTGGTTCAGCCACTATGAAAAACAGTATGGCAGTTCTTGAAAAAATTGAAAATAGAATTACCATATGTTCCTGCAATTCCACTTCCTGGTACATACCCAAAAGAATTGAAAGCAGGATCTTGAAAAGATATTTGTACACCCATGTTCCAAGCAGCATCATTCACAACAACTAAAATGTAGAAGCAACCCAAGTGATCATCAACAAAGAATGAATAAGCAAAATGTGGTGTATACATACAATCAAATAATATTCAGCCTTTACAAGGAAGGAAATTCTGACACATGCTACTACATGGATGAACCTTTGAAGTCACTATGTTAAGTAAAATAAGCCAGTCACAAAAAGACAAATAGTATATGATTCCACTTATATAAGGTACCTGGAGTTGACCAATTCATAAAGAGAAAAAGTAGGATGGTGATTGCCAGGGGCTGGGGGGAAGAGAATGGGGAGTTATTGTTTAATGGGTATGTTTAAATTTTACAAGATGAAAACAGTATAGCAATGTATGTTGGTTGCACAACATTATAAATGTATTCAGTACCACTGAATTGTACACTTTAAAATAGATAAGATAATAATTTTGTGTTCTGTGTATTTTACCACAGTAAAAAGAATAGAGAGCCCAGAAACAAATCCATATATATATATGGTCAACTTACCTTCGACAAAGGGGCCAAGGATATGTAATGAGGAAAGGATAATCTCTTCAAGAAATGGTATTGGGAAAACTGAATATCCACATGTAAAAAGGGCCCCACATGAAATTGGGCCCCTATGACACACTATACACAAAAATCAACTCAGAATGGATTAAATACCTAAACATAAGACCCAAAACAGTAAAATTCCTCAAAGAAAACACAAAAGATGAGATTGGATGTGTTCAGGGTGGTATGGCCATAGACATAGGAGAAAGCCCCTTGACATTGGTTTTGGTAATGATTCCTTGGATGTGACACCAAAATAAAGGCAACAAAACAAAGTACATGCAGGACTTTTTACATAACTTCCAGGAAAGAATCAATCATCATGATATCCAGCACTTTGAACTCTATTCTAAGCATCATTGTAATTCTCAGAACAACCCTATGAGATAGATACTATTATCATCCTCTTTTTATACATAAGGAAACTGAGGCATAGAGTGGTTGAGTAACTATCCCAAGGTCACACAGCTAATAACTAGAGTTGCTAGAACACTAATCCAGCCAGTCTGGCTCATAGTCTGTGCTTGACTCCAACATAATACTATGTTATTGAGAACCTCATGATTCCACCTTCCTTCTAGCAAGAGAAGGGAGGTAAAAACTAAGCACATTCTAAACTCCACTCAATCTAAAATTAAGCCATTATCAGAGTCAGGGACCCTGCAGAGTGCCTTTTTAGTATCTGATTTCTTTCCTCAGGTCCCCTGTTCCCTTCAGTGCAGAGTGGGAATATCAAAACCAGGGAAGCCATTTTGTGGGAAGAGTTAGCACACCAGATTCTGATTCTTAGAAAAACTAGGTATCTAATGACAAAACAAACCTCATTCATGTCCAAGAAAAATACCGTTTCAACTTGGGTAACAGAAATGTAGAATGTAAATTTTAAACAACAAAGATATTGAAAGACCTAAAAGTGATATAGGAATCCATCAAAATCCTAGAGAAGAACACAAGCAGCAACTTCTTTGACTTCAGCCATAGCAACTTCTGGCTAAACACATCTCCAAAGGCAAGGGAAACAAAAGCAAAAATGAACTATTGGGACTTCAACAAGATAAAATGCTTTTGCACAGCAAAGGAAACAATCAACAAAATTAAAAGGCAACCTATGGAACGGGAGAAGATACTGGCAAATGACATATTGGATAAAGGGCTAGTATCCAAAATCTGTAAAGAACTTATCAAACTCAATACCCAAAAAACAAAAAATCCAGTCAAGAAATGGGCAGAAGACATGAATAGACATTTCTCCAAAGAAGACATACAAATTGGCTAACAGACACATGAAAAAATTCTCAACATCATTCAGCATCAGGGAAATACAAATCAAAAACACATGAGATACCTTACACCAGTCAGAATGGCTAAAATTAACAACTCAGAAAACAACAGAAGTTAGCGAGGATGGAAAAAAAGGGGAACCCTCTTACACTGTTGGTGGGAATGCAAACTGGTGCAACCACTCCAGAAAACAGTAGGGAGGTTCCTCAAAAAGTTAAAAATAGAGCTACCCTATGACCCAGCAATTGCACTAGTAGGTATTTATCCAAAGGATACAAAAATAGTGATTCAAGGCACATGTACCCCAATGTTTATAGCAGCAATATCCACAATAGCCAAAATATGGAAAGAGCCCAGATGTCCATTGACAGATGAATGGATAAAGAAAATGTGGTATACACACACATACACACACAATGGAATATTACTCAGCCATCAAAAAGAATGAAATCTTGCCATTTGCAATGACATGGATGGAACTAGAGGGTATTATGCTAAGTGAAATAAGTCAGTCAGAGAAAGACAAATACTATATGATTTCACTTATATGTGGAATTTAAGAAACAAAACAGATGAACAAAGGGGAAGGGAAGGGAAAATAAAATAAGATGAAAACAGAGAGGGAGACAAACCATAAGAGACTCTTAACTCTAGAAAACAAACTGAAGGTTGCTGGAGGGGAGGTGGGTGAGGACATAGGGTAACTGGGTGATGGGCATTGAGAAGGGCACTTGATGTAATGAGCACTGGGTGTTATATGCAACTGATGAATCACTAAATTCTACCCCTGAAACTAATAATACAGTATATGTTAACTAAATTGAATTTAAATAAAATGTTTTTTAAAAAGGTATTTAAGCATGTTTGAAACTAAACACTAAATTTATTGGGGACAAAATTAGCCTACTATTGTTAGAATAAGATAAAGTGATAAATGTCTTTATCCTGAGGTGAGCAGACATTTACACTGCATAACTTACAGTTTAATTCAATTATTTCTGAGTACCTAAAATATGCACATTATATAATGAATGTTCTAATACCTAATACAGTTCTAATACTTAAATACCTAATAGAAGAAAGGATAATGATATGTGGCTGAATAAGTGTTTCTGACTATGAATAAAATAAGCTACTCTCAAGGAAGAAATGTATGGATAGAATCCATTAAGTCTATCTCCCACTTCTGGAAAGGACTAAAGTATACCTAAACTTCTGTAGCAATTGTTAGTGTAGAGGAAATCTATGAGTAAGAAAAGTCAAGAGATTTGCCCTGATGAGCAAACAGATGACAGTGTTTTCAGAAGGAGTTAAGCATCATTCATTCCAGTCCTGCTTGGATATAAAAATGCTTTGTGATCTGTGTTGCCGCTTAGCTTCACAGCCAACTCATCCCCAGAAGATTCTAATAATATATGCTTAACTTGTTCCCCAAAAGATTACAAGTTAATTAGTATTTATAAAATATCTAGAGATAAGTAGATTATGTTAATAATACTTTGCAGCCTCATAATACCTCTTATTCAAGAGACTCAAGATTACACTGACCCCATACTCTGTTTTTCTTGTTTTATTCATGGGAAGTTTGGACAAAAGATTAAAATTGTGACCAGGTCACAACAACATCAATAACAAGTCTCTGAATGTGAGCTACAACTCTTATCACACATTATTCTAAACCTGTAGCAATGGTCTGAATTACAGTTTTACATTAATTATCTTAAAATATTTTAGTCAAAAAAGTCCAGACATTCTGGCCCACCATTATTACGTATCTTTTAGGAGCAGTAATGTTGGGTGTTTTTCAAAGTATATGATACACACCACATTGAAAAATCTCATTCAGAAAAAAATTACTGTTTCAAAACAATCTAAACCTAAAATCAGTAACCAATCAAATTGTACCATTATAAGTCATAGAGACCTGACCCTGTCTGACATGTTCACTTTATGATAATAATTTAAATAATTAACATTTACAAAATGTTCGTGCCCTTCAGACTGTTTTATAGTCATTAATTATTGAAACTGCTCAACATTCAGTGTTATTATTTCCATTTGCCCAGCAGGGAAATGAAGCATAACCAAATGGGATAACTTCCCATGGGCATCAAGGAAAGAGAATGAAGAGGTTGCTTACCTATAACAACTAATCTTCCATCTCGAGTACCATAATTATTGGTGTTCTAGGTAGGGATGAAAACACATCTCTCCTTCATATATTTTACTCCCTAACTATCAATAGGAAGTTCAGTTCTCAAAATAATTCCTAATACCTTAAATACATAAATTTAAACTAAAATACAGTAAACAATATTTTTGAGGTAGAAAAATGAACAATGTGGAGACTCAGAAGTTTGTTGAATGGATATTCTGCTCCTGGACTAAACCAAGAAATCTCAGTAAAAATAATTTTCTGTCACTGACACATATTCATTAATTTTAGTTAAATTGATAAGCAAAGTATTGCAGGACTTCTGTTACTTCAGTTTTCAACTTAAAAAAATCAATTAAAAAATTCCCACTACCAACAGATCACTATATTTTTTCTTTTTTTTATTATGTTATGTTAATCACCATACATTACATCATTAGTTTTTGATATAGTGTTCCATGATTCATTGTTTGCGTATAACACCCAGTGCTCCATGCAGAACATGCCCTCTTTAATACCCATCACCAGGCTAAGCCATCCTCCCACCCCTCTCCAAGCCCAGGGCCAGATGGCTTCCCCGGGGAATTCTACCAAACATTTAAAGAAGAATTAATACCTATTCTTCTGAAACTGTTCCAAAAAATAGAAATGGAAGGAAAACTTCCAAACTCGTTTTATCAGGCCACAATTACCTTGATTCCCAAACCAGACAAAGACCCCATCAAAAAGGAGAATTACAGACCAATATCCTTGATGAACACAGATGCAAAAATTCTCACCAAAATACTATTCAATAGGATCCAACAGTACATTAAAAGGATTATTCACCACGACCAAGTGGGATTTATCCCTGGGCTGCAAGGTTGGTTCAACATCCGCAAACCAATCAGTGTGATACAATACATTAATAAAAGAAAGAACAAGACCCATATGATCCTCTCAATAGATGCAGAAAAAGCATTTGACAAAGTACAGCATCCTTTCTTGATCAAAACTCTTCAGAGTGTAGGGATAGAGGGTACATACTTCAATATCAGATCACTGTATTTTGAGAGTATCTGATATTAGTAAGGAAGGAAATTGCCCATAGAAATACTCCATAAACATTTGCAGGACAAAAGCAGTGGACATTTCTCACGTAAATTATTAATTTTTTATTGTCTGGCGGAAAAAAAAACTAGACTCTCTTCCAGAAGTCAAAAAGATATATGCTTACTCATGTTTAATTTTGACCTTTAAAACTATGATTTAGTATTACTTCACCAGGCACCTTTTCATAGACCAAGATATCCTTGGGGCACCTTTCCACCTACAGACTGGACACTCTTAAAAATCACCCAATTATGAAAAACAACAATTAGGGAGCGAGTAATATTTTGTTAGAGATTGAAAGTCAAGACTGAAATGACCTACTGAGTCCTATAAAAGGCCAATGGAGATCACTTCTATGGATGGTGTGCTTTTGCTTCACTCCTCACTGAGAAAGGGTCGCTCTGCCGTACTGTCGCCATGTCTTTTCAACTTTCTAGTGGATCCAGGCGAGTCTGCTCACGAGCGGGCCCAGGGCGGCTGTCTGGTGGAGGTCCAGGCTTCGGGGCTGGGAATGTGTGCCATGGATCGGGAGCAGGAAGCAGCATTTCTTGTACTCTTGGGAGCATTTCTTCTGGAGGTGGCTTCTGTAATGGTGGTGGGGGTGTCTGTGCTGGTTTTCTTGGAAATGAGCATGGCCTGCTTTCTGGGAATGAAAAGGTGACCATGCAGAACCTCAATGACCGCCTGGCATGCTACCTGGACCATGTACGAGCTCTGGAAGAGGCCAACACAGACCTGGAGCAGAAAATCAAGGCCTGGTATGAGAAATACGGGCCTGGTTCTTGCCGAGGACTAGATCATGACTACACGAGATATTTCTCAGTCATTGAGGATATTAAAAGGCAGGTAAGAAATATGGATTTGCCTACTTTTACTATAGACTTTTGGTGTACATAACCTAAAAAAGACAAAATATAAAATGTGCTTAAAATTTTGACATGATGTAGAATTGCTCACTCTCTATTCCCAGTGCTTATTAAAGCAATGTCTGGCCAAAAAAAAAAAAAAAAAGTTGTAGAATTAAAGGCAAATAATTTCAAAACAGATATAATCGCCTTGCTGACCTTATATTTAGCTCATATTTTTTGATCAAGAGTAATAAAAGTATCTGTGATTGTAAAAGCTTACACTTTGGCTCTTAAGCTCTGGACATTCACTGTCTGAAAAAAAAAAGCCAGACTCCTTTCACACAGAAAAAATATTAAAGTAGATATTTGATGGGTTGAGAAGATAAGAATCATACTGAAATCTGGACTCTCTCTTGACTTTCAGTACCTAACTATTTTGCACAATCTACCCTATTTAGATTATTTCTGTGACTACCTGTAACTCCAGCACTGCTCTGCAAAATGACAATGCCAGACTGACCGCTGACGACTTCAGGCTGAAGTAGGTGAAAATAACGTAATTAACTATAATAAAGGTAAATACTACAGTTGGAGTAAAAACCAGACCTTTTGCTTTAAAAACCAACATGTTTTTATGAAGTCAGACTAAATCACTGAAGAAATTAAATGTGCCATTATAAAAAGAGCTATCCCAAATTTTAAACATTTTGATTCAACTACGAGGCACATCGGATGATAAAAATTCTGAAAAATCAATTCCTCCAAAATAGTCATCCTAAATCAGTAGGTATTCCAAAGTGTGTCTTCTCTTTGCCGATGCAATAAGCTTTAGAAGCCTAGACAGAACATCCTGTCATTCAGTATACCAGATGTCAGAGAAAGTTACGCTTTGCACCTGCCCACGGTCACAATTCTCAAGCACTTTACTAAACTTCCAGGTATGAAAACGAGCTTGCTCTACACCAGAGCGTAGAGGCTGACATCAATGGTCTTCACAGGGTTATGGATGAGCTGACCCTTTGTACAGCCGACCTGGAGATACAGTTTGAAACACTCAGTGAGGAATTGGCATACCTCAAGAAAAATCACCAGGAGGTAAAGGACCCCCCAGCATAGCTTCCGATAGTACCTGATTTCGTTCCTCTGGCCCACTGTTCACTTCAGAGCAGAGTGGGAAGATCAGTCAAAACTCTACCTTGAGGGTTAATACTGATCCCTTTTCCAGGAAATGAAAGTCCTGCAGTGTTCGGCAGGGGGGGATGTGAACGTGGAGGTGAACGCAGCCCCAGGAGTGGACCTAACTGTCCTGTTGAACAACATGAGGGCCGAGTACGAGGACTTGGCTGAGCAGAACCGCAGGGACGTGGAGGCCTGGTTTAACGAGAAGGTACGTCTGTGGCAGATCACACACCAAAGGCTTGGTCAGTAAACCACCAAGCTGGTCGCTAACCGTTCCGATGATTATGCTACAGAGTGCTTCACTTCAACAGCAGATTTCTGATGATGCAGGAGCGGCCACCACAGCCAGGAACGAGCTGACGGAACTGAAACGCAATCTGCAAACTTTGGAAATAGAACTTCAGTCTGTTGTGGCCATGGTTCGTAGAAGTCACCACTGATCTGAATGTGTGTGTGTGTGTGTGTGTGTAGGTAAATGCACATCTATCTAAGTATATATAACTAATTACATATAACTAAAAGTATAAAATGTGGTAAATAATAAGAATGCTGTCCATAAACATCACTTCTAACTCACCAATCCCAATACTTAAAAATCAAACTTTTCTCAATGGAGAGAAAATGGTTGGGTTTTTTTTTTTCTTTTTTTAAAGAAACCTGGCTTATGCTGATTTCTGATCGAAAAGATTTAGACCTTGTACAAATGCTTCTTTCCACCTTGAGAATGTCTCAAATATGAACGTGCTGTTTATCTGTTCCCCACTTGCTTTATTCTTCTTTCAGAAACATTCCTATGAATGCTCTCTGGCTGAGACAGAAGGCAATTACTGCCTCCAGCTCCAGCAAATCCAGGACCAGATTGGGGTGATGGAGGAAGAACTGCAACAGATTCGCACGGAAACAGAAGGCCAGAAGCTGGAGTATGAACAGCTTCTAGATATCAAAATATTTTTAGAGAAAGAAATAGAAACGTATTGCAAGTTAATAGATGGAGAAGAAAGGTAAATACTAAAAAGAATCCTCTCCCATCAACTAGGTTTTCTCAGTACCCACATACACCAGTATCATATCCTAGAATTTCCTACTCTAAGGACCATACTCATCTGTTGGTCTCAGGAATTTATTATTGCATCCAAATGACATGAAAACGGGCAGCCAAATCAAATGTGCAAGTATGTGAAGTGTGCATATCTATAATAACATATAGGACATTTAAATACCAAATGTTAAACAATTCCTATACTCTGGGGGGGGAGGCGTGGGGGGGATTGCTTTCTGTGATTTAATGTTGGAGCACGTTTCCTATAACACCACACTCTATTTTATCGGTACTTCACTAGTGACCACGCATGCACCCTGTATTAGGTGGGTTATTATGTTTTCATTTGAAAGATGAACAATAACAGTTTCCTTGGAGAAGTCACTATGGCTTGTTAGCCAAGAGCAACAGCTCTGGGTGCAGATCACACCACTGGGTGAATTTGAACACATGGTTTAACCTCTTTAAGTCCCATTTTCCTTATTGGTAAGATTGTGAGAACATCAAAACCACACTCTTTACCCATGACCATAGCGCATCACTATGGAGGTAGAGTGTTCAGGAGAGTGGCTTGCACACAAAAGGTACTCGGTAATCTGTGGCTGTTACTAAATGCTTGCCCATGGTCACACCAGGAGTCCGTACCATCTCATGCATCTGCCAAGGCTAGTGTCAGCCCTCTACAATCTATTCTCATAGGAACTCAACCGTGATGTTCCCTCCTTCAAACAAAGCTCTCATTACAGCATTCACTAGTCCCTTCTTTCACTACACCTTTCAAGCTGTGTTCCAGCTAAATTTTTACATGCATATGCTTTATTTTCAATGGTATAAACTGCTTGTATCATCACTCTATATTTTCTACAGCACCTAGCCCAGCACCTTCTGCACTGTGGCACCCTGAACTTGCTCATTGCCCCGGTGATTGACTGAAAAGTCAGAGTCAGAAACTGGAGTCTCTAGAGAGTGAGACCAAAGAGATGATAGCTGGTCACAAGGGAATTTCTGATCATAAACACTCATTTAATCTCTCCCTTCACAACACTGAGGTCATGAAAGGCTTACTTATATATCTCTTTATATATCTCTTAAGCACAAAAGGAATTTAATATTGCAGAAACTAGAATTCCTAAACTTTTATTCCCCACTCAGTTATTTCTGAGCTTCCTCCTGAAAGGAAAAAAAAGAAATGCAACAATTTACTCTTCTCTTCACAGAAAAAGCAAGTCCACGTGTTACAAATCCAAAGGACGTGGGCCTATACATTCTGAAAATCAAGTCAAAGGTACAAAAGGCTTTTTTACTTGGCATAAATCTTTTCAACTCGAGCAATTTTATTAAATAAGTCACTTATTTGTAAACTAAATCAAATTGTTCTAAGGTTAATTCTAGCGAATGAAGAAATCAGGGGTCATTATGGCAACTTCTTAATGTATTTTATGTTCCTGTAGAACAGATGTGGTCAAATTGTGAAATTTCTGAAATGGGGATTCAATCCCCAAACATTTTTCTTACCTAGAACCTATCATTTTCCCAATTCCAGTGCTTTGGTGAAAGAGCTATTGTATTTTAAACCACAAAAATAGGGCAAGTTGGCATTTAAAGGAAGACATCACTTGCTCTAGTTTTAATCTATGTTTTATTTACACCTTCAAACACCCATTGTTCTAAACACAATGGTTAAGTATAAGATAGTTCTGGGCATTGCTAAGCAAGTCTTCAAACACAGTATTTGTCTTCAAACACAGTATTATATCTCAAGTTTTTGCAAATACTATTTTTTAGAAGCATACCATTATGACTAAGTACCTTCCAGCCTGTTAAGAATGAGCACTAAATTTGCATTTATTTTATTTTAGACTCAAAAGAAGAAATTGTTGTCAAAACAGTGGTTGAGGAACTAGATCAACTTGGTAATGTCCTTTCACTAAGGGTCCATTCAGTTGAAGAAAAATCCTCTAAAATAAGCAACATTACAATGGAGCAACGTACCTTCTAAAGCACCATAGTGAGAAAACAAGTTATTCAAAAAAAAGCCTGCCTTTGCAAAATCCCATTGGCCAAATAACCAAGGAAATCATTCATGTGTGTTCTTAAAAATTCAAGGGCTAGAATTTTTCTTTCTCTTCTTTTCTCACATTCTTTCCATGTAATCCTTTTCAGGAGTAGGAAAAATCTTGCTCTGTCTCATTGTTTTGTTTCTATTTGGAACTTTTTGGCCATTCATTAAAAATTTTTCTGTTGCAAATTATTTCTGATGAATCTGGTGCTTTTGAATTTCTACAGTTGATCTCAATTTGACAGTACTAAGGATACACTGGTAAAATAAAGTGCCTCATACAGTCACACTTACTTCAATTCATGATAAGATAAGTTGGAAAGAGTACCAGACCTCAAATCTGGTCCAAAATCTGTCCCCAGTCAACCATGTAAATGACTAGATCTCCTTGGGTTTGGGTTTTTGTGGATGGAAGAGTATCCCCATTGATCACTAGGATTTGTTCACCCTTACAATGACAAGCCTGCTTGGGTGATCAGTTAATGTGAATTTGCTGAATCTGAATCTGTATGGCTATTTTTCCATTTTGCAGTACATTAATCTCTCTACTCCTACCCCAGGGGAGAAAACCCATTGGTTCAGAATGGTGGAAGAATCCTCAACAACAACAACAACAATACATGTTCAAGGAACTGACTGATCCCATAGAATCCAGGAGAGATTCAGGATTTAGAAGAACCAAGTATAATAGTGAACCAGACTAAGATTAAGCTGAGGGCAGGGTGATTGACAGGTGAATTTACCATGACACTAACAATGCATAAGCTTCAGGTCCCTCATTAGCACAGGAAGGGCTCTAGCATTATGTTTGTATAGCCATTTTTAGAAAACTTTTACAAAACTATGATAGGTTAAGTCTGCTATCTCTTTCCACTCCAGTTTCTCCTCCATCACTCTTTCCCTCATGTCTGGGGGTGATCTATCACTAAATTGTATGATCACAATTTATTATCCAAATGTAACATTTGAGGGCGAGTAAAGGATGCTATTTACCAGGCATATTAGCAGATATGAACTGACCTATTTTAGGCATATGGACATAAAGTCACCCTAAGTCAAGAGGAAGTTGAGATGAGTGTAGTGAAATATATTAATGAGGTTCTCATCATTTCCATGGAAACTTCTAGGAATATTCCCACTGCCCACTGTGCCCATGTAGTATCATATCATAAAGTTACCAGGCTGCAAATTGTGATATGAACAAATCTTATAAAACACAGCACCAGAAATATGCAGATAACAGAAGAGATACAATGTATGAAGTATGTGGAACCAGAAGCTAGTCTATGGAAAATCTTTTAAGTCATCATATGTGTAAAATTGTAGAGAATTCATTTTCACTGATGCCTATGAAAGACAAAAATCTCCTCCTGACAGGAATATGATGGGTAATGCAACATAGTTATTATTTTTAGTACTGCTTTATGCTCTTTATACACAAGAATTTTTATAAATTTTATTTCTGTGCAATTCCTGTAAAAAGTCTTCACATATGACAAGTCCATGGTTATGAAAATTGTATTCCTCTGGGAGTGAGCACAAGGCATATGGCTCTTTGTGACTCATTTTAATGCCCTCTATAGAACATCCACCCCAGAGAAACTATGTGGACAAGCTGATTCATCTTGTGGAGGTCAGCCAGTCTCCCTCTTCACCACTTCAATGCTTGCACAATGAGCCCACTGTCAAAGTGGCCATTGTGACAGATATGAAATCTATACTTCAGACTCCATCTCCCTAAGGTTGGTCAAGCTACTGAGATGTCATCAGCAGACATAGAAACTGAGCTCTTGAGATGGTACCATTTTTTTTAGAAGGAAAACTAACCACATGCTCTCAGGATGACACTACTGAATCCCTTTATCCTGGAGGGAACAGCAAACTTTCCTTAACAGAAGTAACACTTAGTTCATTCAAATATAGGTTTGCCTTTCAATTCCTATAGTACCTCTGCCAGCACACCATCTGAGGACCAAACATTGAATAAGCTTCAGGCCCTCAGAACAGGCCCTGGATCTCCCCATAGCAATTGGTTTAAAGACAGAACAGAGAAAGTAAACCCCTTCCGGCTTCCAGAAGGATAAAACAGAGACAATTGGAGTAAGGCAATATCTGAAGAGATAAAAAGCTGAAATTTTTCCAGAACTGATGAAAGACACCAGTTCACAGATTAAAGAAGTCCTACACATCAAAATAAAATGAAATGCACATGGATCAGATCATAATAAAGCTGAAAACAAGATAAAAAGATCCACATATGGATAAATCATAGTGAAACCACAAAACAATGAAGATAATAGAATATCTTTAAAATCAGACAAATGGGGGGGGAAATTATGACCTTCAAATGAGTGGCAACAAGAATGAATGGCAACATCAACAGTGGAATCCAAAGGACAGTAGAATATCTTCGATGTGCCAGGAGAAATCCTAAATGGCCAATAAATGTATGAAAATGTTCAACGTCACTAGCAATCAGAGAAATAGAAATTGAAACCACAGGAGATACCATTACACAACTCCCAGCTTGGCAAAACTTTTAAAATATTTGGCACAATTTATCCATTCTACTGTTGAATTGCTTCCGGTTTGAGACTAGTATGAACAATACTACTATAAACATTCTGCACATGGCACCTACTACATGTGCATGAGTTTCTCTAGAACACAACCCACATATATGCTATCTACAGAAGATTCACTTCAAACATAAATACAGGTAGATTGAAAGTAAAAGGACAGAAAAAGATATATCATGCAAAATTAATCCAAAAACAATTTTTTTAATTTGTAAATATGTGGGGTGATGGATGTTCTTGACTTACTGTGGTGATCATTATAATACATACATATATGGAATCATTATGTTATACACCTGAAACTAATACAATGTTATATGTCAATTATATCTCCATTTTTTAAAAAATAAATTTTAATTTACTTTTAATAAATCAGGAGTGGTTATATTAATATCAGACAAAGCAATCCTAAATATATAAAACAAGAAATCTTCCAAACACATGAAGCAAAAACTAAGAGTGGAAAGAAGTAATAGACAAATCCGTAAGAATGCATATTGCATGATGGCATTTATATAACATTTGTGAAATAAAACAATTACAGGGATGGAGAACAGATTCATCGTTGCCAGGGGTTAGGGATTGGGAGGGAGGAGTGGGTGTGGCTGTGAAGGGGTTAGCACAAGAGAGTCTTATGAAAATGGTACAGTTAGGTATCTTGATTATGGTGGTGGTTGCATGAAGGCACATGTGTGATAAAATTGCATAGAGTTACACACACAAGCACATGCATGCACACACACCAATAAATGCCTGCATAACTGGCAAAATCTGAATAAACTCTATGGATTGTACTAATGTCAATTTCCTGGATTTAATACTATACTACAGTTATTTAAGATGTTAACACTGAGGGCCTGGGTGAAAGGTGCACAAGACCTCCCTGAACATTTCTTTGCACACTTTTGCACTTTTCTGTAAATCTATAATTATTTCAAAGTAATTTTTTAATTATAGAAGAAAATATAGAAGAATCTTTGTAACTTTGGTTTAGGCATAGATTCATTCGACATGACATCCGAAACATGATTTGAAAGAAAAATACTCATTTAGACTTCATCAAAATTTAAAATGTGTGCTCTTTGAGAGACACTAAGAAAATGAAAAGACAAGACACGGATTATGAGAAAATACCTGCAAATTACCTATTGATAAAGTACCGTATCCAGAATATATAAAGAATCCTCACAACTCAACAGTAAGAAAGCAAACCTAATACATAAATGGGAAAAAGAACGGAAGAGATGACTCACCAAAGAAGAAATATGGATGGCAAATAAGCACATGAAAAGATGCTCTTCATTATGAGTCATTAAGGAAATGAAAATTTAAACCACAATAAGATACTATCACACATCTATTAGAATACACAAAAAATATTTTTGAAACTGGCAATACCAAGGGCTGGTAAGGATAAGGAGCAACTAGGACTCTCATTCATTGTCGATGCAAAATGGGAAGGGACGCCTAGGTGGCTCAGTCGTTAAGCGTCTGCCTTCAGCTCAGGTCATGATCCCAGGGTCTTGGAATCGAGTCCCACATCGGGCTCCTTGCTCAGTGAGGAGCCTGCTTCTCCCTCTCCCTCTACTGCTCCTCTGCTTGTGCTCTCTCTCTCTCTCTCTGACAAATAAATAAATAAAAATCTTTTAAAAAAATGCAAAATGGGGGTGCCTGGGTGGCTCAGATGGTTAAGTGTCTGCCTTTGGCTCAGGTCATGATCCCAGGGTCCTGGGATCGAGTCGCACATCGGGCTCCCTGCTCAGCGGGGAGCCTGCTTCTCCCTCTGCCTCTCTCCCTCTCTGTCTCTGAATAAATAAAATCTTTCAAAAAAAAAGAAAGAAAATACAAAATGGTACAACCACTTTGGAAAACAGTTTGCCGGTTACTTATAATATTAAATAGACATCTATATATATGACCTCACAATCCCACTACCTGATATTAAATAAATCAAACTTACATTCACATAAAAACCTATATGTGAATATTTATAGTGGCTTTATTCATATTCATCAAAAACTGGAAACAACTCATATCCTTCAACTAGTGAGTGGATAAACTGTGGTACATCAAAAAAATGGGAAACTATCCAATAAAAATTAACAAACTTTTAATACACTCAACAGCATGAATGCATTCAACTGCATTATGCTAAGTGAAGAAATCAAACACAAAGAGTATATACTGTCTGAACCCTTTTATATGACATTCTGGAGTAAAACTATGAGCATAGAAAAGCAATCAGTGTTTGCCTAGAGCTGGGGCTGTGGGCAGAGACTGACTAACTACAAAGGGATACAGAGGAATTTGGGAGGGGGTGGTTAGGGAACTGTTCTATATCTTGATTGTGGTAGTGGCTACATGAACCATGCATTTGTCAAAATTTATAGAACTGTAAGCTAAAAAGGATGAATCATATTATATGTATATTAAACCTCAATAAATCTTATTAAAAACAACTGGCAAAAAAATTTAAGGAATCTATCCTAAAGAAAAATGTGAACATGTTCAGCATTATCAATAACAGCAATAAAGCTAGAAACAATCTGAAGGTCCTTATTTAATAAGCTAGTGGTTAGACAAATTACTTAATATTAGGTTTGGCTCTGA